GATTTGCCCGAAGTCATACGGTGGCAGCAGGGCTGATGCTGTGACCCAGTCTCCTGGCCTGTGTGGCCCTTGCCCTCCAGCTTGTTCTGTTAGCTCTCTGTCCTCATCCTCACCCCCTCCTTCCCTAGCCCCTTCTCTCGATAGCAGACTTGAATTCAAACTGTACTGCCCTGGAGAGGAGAGAAAGGAGTCTTGCTGGATGGGAGCAGGGTTTTTCCACAGCCAGCAATGGCATTAGGTCCCTGCGTGACTCAAGCTGTTCACACTCCTCTAGCAATCGAAAGGTCTGTGGTTGAAGGCCAACCAGTGGCACTGTGCAAGAAAGGCCTGGCAGTCTGCTGCTATAAAGAGCTCAGTCAAGACAGTTCTGTGGCGCTGTTCTGCTCTGGAACTCATTATGAAGCATAGTCAACAACAGTTTTGTTTTGTTTTGTTCTGTTCTGTTTTGTGAGGACATTGCTAGTGTGGAATGGGGTGAGGGCAGAGTTCCTGCTGCAGCTGGCTCCTGAGTGTCTGGGAGATGGGTGTGGGGATAGAAAACTTCAGAACGACTGTGTCCGAGGTTCACAGGTTTCTTTTTACAGCAGAAGGGTTGGACAGTGGGCTTTAGAGAGAACCAGAGAACTTGGGTCAAGCTTGGCAGAGAGTGGGCCTCACCCCCTGTCTGTGACCATCACGTGTCAAAAGGCGTCCTCAGACCACCCTGCTGTTCATTAGACTGAACTGGAGGGTTCTGGTGGAGGGACCAGGACACTAGCCCACCTCAGTCCCCTGGAACCCGCCAACCTTGTCTCTCATCAGTGTCTCTTTTGGCCTCCCCCACAGTTTACATGTCCTTGGATGGCCTCTCTGTATCCATGGGTTGTTAACAAGCTTTTCAACCCTGTCGGACTCAATCAGCTCTTGTTACTTTACTGAGCAATGAACCCAGCATGGAAGCCACGTGGACACAGTTGTCAAGGAGCTGGGGCTGTGAGGACCAAGGTTGGCATAGAGAGGCAGGTGGGTCTCACTTGCCTCCAACTGAGGAGAAGAAGATGAGGGCCAGGGCCAGGAAAGTTCTGGAAGGATCAGAATTAGTGAGATTGTGGGAGAGAGGTAAAGACTTCAGACAGGAAATTTGCCAGAGACCCTTCCCTCCCAGAATGCTTAGAGGCCCACACCTGACCTCAAAGGGCAATTCTCTATCAGTTGTCTCTATCAGCCCATTTAACAACTTACTCTAAAACACGGTGACTTAAAAGAGTGACAAAATTTAAAAAAAAAAAAAAAAAAGAGTGACAAAATTGAATTCTCTCAGTTTTTGTGGGTCAGGAATTCAGGGCTCACTTGTCTGGAGAGTTCTGACCCAGGGTCTTGCTCACATAGGACTTAGCTGGGGCTATTTCTGAGGTTGTTTATTACACACATCTGATAAGCTGGTGCTGCTGGTGGTGGGGGAACTCTCTTCCTTCTGTGTAGATTCTCCCTACTGGGCTGCTTGAGAATCCACATGGCATGGTGACTGACTTCTCCCAGAGCATATGATCCAAGAGACTGAGAAGGAAGCCATAACACCTTTTAAGAACCAACTGCAGAGGCCACTGTATACTCTGTGGGTCAATGGGAGGATCACTGAGGGCCAGCTTGGAGTCTGGCTACCACAGGGTCCTTCAGGGAAGGACATAGAGGGTAAGCTGAAAAGTTTATCCCAGGAGCTTCTTCTATGTCCCTGTCATTTCAGATCAAGGTGCTGGTCTTGCCAGGGAGCCAAGATCCAGTCCTGTGGTTATGATCCCCATGGCCATCAAGTCAATTCCAGCTCATAACAGACCTACAGGACAGAGTAGAACTGCCCCAGAGAGTTTCTGCGCCTGTAATCCTTATGAGAGTCGACTGTCACATCTCTGCCTTACGCAGCAACTGATGAGTCTGAACTGCTAACCTTCTGGTTAACAATTGAATGCTTTTGCTAAACCCAAACCTGTCCCTATCAAGTCAATTCTGACTTAAGTCAACTCTCCACTGGGTCTCTGAGGTTGCAAATCTTACGAGACAGCTTCATTTTTCCTCCCACAGAACACACACACCTACCTTCACTCACACGCTCACTCACTCACTCACTCACTCACTCACTCACTCACTCACTGTCATCCAGTCAGAATTGACTCATAGCTGACCCTCTAGTGAGTTTTCAGAAGCTGCAAATCACATAGAAGGAGCTTGCCCATCTTTCTCAGATGCAGCTGGTAGATTCAAACTACCTGCCTTTGGGTTGGCAGTGCAGCTTCTTACCTGCTAGGCTGCCAGAGTGCCCTACACAGACAGACCTTAGAACGCACCTTAGCTGAGGTTCAGGACAACCCACCCTGGTGTGCTGGGCTCCCCTCCAGAGCTGGACAGTGGGGGATACTATTTAGGTGGAATGGGGAGAGAGAGAGAGTCTAAGGCCAGGTTACCACATCAGGCCCACACTCACAACAGAGTCCTCACAGGAGACAAGAGAAGCAGTTAGAGAAGAGCAAATCCTAACACGTGCACAGCCACTGAGGGCCAGCTCTGCAGAAAACACAGCCTGTGGGTGTCGGGAGCCCCAAGGAGGAATCCAAGTTGCCAGGGCAGAGGAAACAGACTTATCCTCCCATTGTGGGGGTACCACTTTCAGATGAAAATACCTTTACCTGAAAAAGGGGGTGGGGCACAATTGCTAAACAATCCCAGGAATCAGCAGTGACCCCAAAGTCACAAAGTCCAGCTATGGTTTGTTTGGCTTTGAAGTCCACCTTATCTAGAACTGCCTGACATGGTTAGATCTAGCTTTGAAATGGAACTTAGCACCACACTACTGGAGGGAAAAGAAGAGTCTGGGTGGAAGCAGAGGTTGATCCAGCATTAATAAATGGCATCAGAGGGCCCACAAAGGAAGAAATCCACACAGCAAGCCAGGGTTGGTGGCCACCCTTCTACTGCTCCCTCCTGAGGCACTGGACCTCCGAGACCCCGCCCTCTGGTTTTCTCTGGCTCAAGCAAGGTTTCTAATTCAAAAGTTCTCACTTCTGCCGCAAGGGTACAGATTTTGAAACCAAATGTCATTAAACATGAATAAGTGAAAAATTCAAGTGTGGTAATAGGGCACAGTGAAGCCTGTGGCATACTAAAAGAGTAATTAAAGGTATTCACTTTATATACATATTTAATACTTTACAGATCAAATGCCTGCCAGATTAAACCCCTGGTCACTAATTTGAAATTAAAACAGATGAGATGGAAATAGATACCAAATCAAAACTAATCTCTCCATGTGTCCGCAAGTACACACACTGGGCCCAATATTCTTGAGTTCCCATGAGTTGTGAACTTGGCTCTTATCTGTCACCAGGAGGCAGCAGAGAGCCCCATGCCCTACTCCCCTGTGCTTTCTGAGCCTCACAGGTGATGGGCACCAATGTGGTTCAAGCAAATTCTCAACATCCTATCCTGGACCTTCTTTACCCAAATACTAACCACAAAGGGGTGAGCCGCGTACACAGAGCATTCTAGAGGGTAGTAGAAGTACACTGCAAGAACCTAGGTGTCTAGACTTACCCTTAGAGCCCAAAAATCGTCATCCTCACACTCAGATTGATTGGGTATGGGATCGAGGGTGTGCTGTGGAAGGCTTGGAGTTTGTCAGTAAGGGGATTACGTTAACCAAAGCACAGATTTTTACGTTGGCTGCTGGGCAATGCCTTAAGGAACTATCTAGAAACCATTCCCTACAGCTTCCCTTCTTCTACTACCCGGGTTCTGCCTCTGGAAACGGTCCTGAGTTAAGAAGAATCCCAGTGAAAGAGAGTTCCACTCTGCTCTCACTCCCTCTCTTACCTTCTTTCTTGAACCCTGGAATTTTGAGCTTATTCAAGCCCTCCCTTTCTCTTTATGGAATGGGAGCCCTCTTTCTCTCTCACCCCAAGGCAGAACAATTGAGCTGACGCAAAAGGGGGAAAAAAACCCAACTCATACTGTCAGGAGATTAATGCATGTTTGTTTACTGATGCAGGAAGGTGTAATGAGAATTCTGCCCAGAGGTCACAGCTGCCAGGTTTTAATCTCATCCATGGCCCTAGAAAGTTGTGTCTTGAAAAAAGTCACTTAATCCTTTTGGACCTCAGCTTTCTCATCCATGAAGTTGAAGGGTTTGGACTACAAGCTGAGATAGCAAATGGAGCTGCCTGAAGCACTGTATTTAGCATGGTGAAGCCAGAAAGAATCTGTGATCAATTAGCAATGCCTGCCTTGGACACCCAAAAGAAAGTAGAGGTATGCATGCCATGTATCTGTGAAGTCTTGGGATCATCTTTAAGTCTCCTCTCTCCCAATGCTCCATGAGTTGATGAATCAATACTGCAAGAAGCAGAGTGTGAAATGAGGATTGGTGTTAGGATAGCTTGAGAGACTTCCTCCAAGAGAACACAAGCGTTCATGGCATCTGAAAGTTTGCCTCCTGGCTATTTCTCTAGATCTTTCTCCAGGACATCTTCAGAATATTAAGCCTAATGAAGTTCTTCCATCATCAGAGCAGGTCTACTGTAAGAGAACTTCAGAATCCAATAAGGTGCATATGGTGTCATGGATATCTCCAAATCAATCACAGTGTAGACTGGGACAGCCACCCAAAGCATAAATAGAGTAAGCTCTAACAGGAAACAGCCCCACAGTGGAAGTTCACTCACAGTATAATGTGCAATAATCAGTAGGTGGAGTCCAAAAAGACCATCTTGCTTTATGAATTTGATGCTGTGTCCGAGCAGGGAACTGTTTCACAACATGGAATATCCCAATGGTGGTATCTTTGGCAAATAGGAGAAGCTGCTGTAGCTGAAGGCAGAGGAAGAGTCCAGCCTCTGGCTTGTAGGTCCTCACGAACATTTCAGAGGTTCTCAGCAGGACTGTGGTTTCAAACAAAGATGATTTTCCCCTGGAGTAGAGGCAGCCTTAGTCCAGGTTCCTAGCTCAGTAACCACTCAGATTCCATCCACATTCTACAAATGGGTCTCCTTCTCCCCAGCTATAAGACCTTCCTTGGTTGAAGAGGGCCTGCAGTCCTGGTTGGCACCCCCATCCAGGTATATATGCTTCTTGGGCTGCGGTAGACTAGGGTCAGGGGCAATGAGCTGCTGCCAGCGCTGTGGAGAGAAGAGGCAACAAGTGTTTGCTGTGGCAGGAGAAGGGGGCAGCTCATGACAGTGAATGAATGAGAAAATAAGAGTGAAGAGGCCATAACATGGTGGTTAAGAATATGAACTACTTGAGTTCCTTGGTTCTCCTTCTGCCCACTCGTGCAATCTCAAGGAGCTCATTTAACCCTTCTAGGCCTCAGTTTCCTCATCTGCAAACTGAGGACAATATTACTACCTACATCAGTTGTTGAGAATATTAAATTAATTGTGTCAAAACTTTGAACAACGTCTGGCACGGGATAAATGCTCAGTGTCTAATTATGTTGTTATTATTATTATTACTATTACATGTTCCATAAATAACTACTCTTTTTTTACTAGTAGTACCACTATTACTGCTGCTGCTGCTGCTGCTGCTGCTGTTATTGTCATTATTTAAACAGGAATGTAGCAGACAATGGTAGTCTTGCATTGCATTAGTCAATGCACTATCCATTCTCAACTCTCTTCTCCCTTGCTAGCTTCTACAACAGAGACTGGGAAGGCTAAATATTCACCTTTCCCAGAATCCTCTGGGCAATGAGACATAAGGAGGATTCTGCTGGGTACTCTTGGGAAAGTTTTTGTGTCAGAATGATATATAAGGCTGGTACCATTCTTCCCTCCTATCCTTTTCCTAATTTGAATGCAGATGTGATGACTGTAACTGTGACAGCCATTTTGTAACCATGAGGTAAGAAACATGATGGAGAAAAGCCAACATATTTAGGGTGGAAATATAGAAATATAGGAAGAGTTTAGGTCCATGATGGCCTCTAGAAGCAGCTGAATTAAGTGGCAGCAGTCCCCATCTCCAACGATAATGAGAGAGAGGAGAGAGGCGAGAGGAAGGAGAAAAGAGAGAGGAAAGAGAAAAGAGAGAAGAAGGAGAGAGGGGAGAGAGAGAAGCCACTTGCCTAAACTCTTGAAAATTGGGTTTTCTGTTATTTATAGCCAAATAGATTTATACAGAGATAATATCTTTATGAGACACAGAAGATACACCAGCTTTATGGGATACAGCTCCTTCCAAGAAGGACTGTTCAAATTCCAAACTAGGAACCTTTTGAATGTGACTCACCAGCCAGGATTAAGACTAGAAAAGAAGGCAGGATCCTATAAGCAGAATAAACTATAATGGCTGTCAGTGATCTAAGAGTAAACAATCTGTGGCAGAGCTCTTTACATTGTGATTTAGTTTTGCCTTTAATCTTTTGGGTATTTACTCTGTTTAGTCTTCCCAGATAGTCTACTGAGTCTCTTCTGGTTTGAAGATCTAAGATGCTAGGATTTTGAACATTCTTTAAAACAGAGCCATTAGACCTATCTTTAGGATTCTTCTCTAAGAATCCATGAGATCAAAGGCCTGCCTCCTATCCAGAGTATTTCTTTGTTCCATGAGGGTCCTGCTCAAAGTCTAACCTCTTTTAGTAGTTATTGCTTCCAGCTTCAGGCCACTTACCTTCTTGAAGGAACCCTGGGTCTTCATGAGGGTGAGGATGACGAAGAGCGGGATACAGATCATGGAAGAGAGAGCCAAGAACCAGCCAATGGAGTCTCCCCAAAGAGGGTACACGTAGATGTTGTTGTATTTGAGAGGTGTGTACTTGGTCAAGGAGAAGAGGAAAGTGGCCTGGAATGAGGAAAGGGCAGGCATATGTGAGATAAAGATTTCTAACACACTTTCTTCATCTATCTAATGACAAAAGGGCAAGTTAAATACATTGTGGTATCATTACACATAACGATAAAAGCAAATCACAGGCCAAAGCATCACATCACATCAGGGACTGACATGGGAGAAGCTGTAAAGGAAGGGAGGAGTTAGAGGAGTTTAATCACACACACAGGAAGAGATCAGTCAGATGGGGTAGGGTTCTGTGAGAAGGGAATAGAGCAGTAACTAGAATAGGCAAACAAAAACCAGATGGACAAGATAGTCCCGGGGGATGAGGAGAAGGCCATAAGAAGTCATGGTTCAAGTCCCATGATGCAGGCATCCTTGCTGTCTGTCTCTGAGCTTTCTGGAGGCAAGAGGAAATGTAGGCAAAGCCACATGAGCACATACCAGGCAAAGGCCAGGGGTCAGAAATAGCCAGCCGATCTTCACCAGGGGCCATGGCCGGTAGCCAATCATGTCCTCAACGTTGTCATAGAAACGGTCTGCCCCTGCCAAGAGATACAAGGAGAGAAGGATGAGGACAGTGCCATGCATGTTGGGGAAGGATTTATATGGCTTTGCACTCTCATCAATGGGAAAACAGAACTGAACAGATTAGCTGAAATAAGTCCCAGGCACCACAGCCATGGGTAGAGAGTGGGAAGATGCATGGTTATCAGCATGCCCTGCATTGCTCCTGGTGGAATCTCCTATCTCTCTGTCTAAGAGCGCAAGTGTCACAACCACAGAGAAGTTGTGTGAGTCAAAAGTGAGGGCCTGGAATTCCACAAATGCATGTTGTTTACTTGTGAAGCAGAGATGGATTCAGCTTCAAGGCATGACAGGAAAGCAGTGAGAGCCCCACTGTTAAACATGTCACACTCAGTTCATGTGGGGCTGGAAAGCTACTGGGAGCGGGACAAAGAGCTAGACCCCAGATTCCAGGAGAAACACTTAAGTTTTAAACAATGTGGTGAGACTGATCTGTGTTCATGAAGACATTGATTTTGTTTTGTTTAATGGCCTTAGATCTCCACATAATGCTCCACATTAGCTGCAGGCAAAGCCAATCCTTAAAGAAGTAAAAAAACCCCACCCATTGACAAAGACACTTGGAAGGCTCTTCTCACTTGGACCAAACACCTTGTCACTGGTCACGGAGGCTTTAAATCCCACCAATCCAGAGTCATTCCTTACTTCTCAATTCAACCTTAGTTAAAACCCAACTATTTCTGGGTGAGTAGAATATCTAAGTCTTATCAGACATCTACACCTCACTGTGATTACTCTTTTACAACAAATTTTGAAAAGGAATAGAGAGAAAACAGACAGACATGTGATGCTTAAAGTGAGAAGGTGGGAGACATCTCAGAAAAAGGAAAGGACACTAAATAGGAAAACCTAGAGAGGGAAAATAAAAACCTTCTTGTTCACTCAAGGTGGATCATGGACCTAGGACTAAAACCAAGGACTATAAGCTTCATTAAAGAAAAGCTTGGAAGAATGTAGAAACAGTCTTCCAAGTATCCTGAAAAACCTACAACCAGGAGAAGATAAAATAGATGAATGGGATCTTCTAAGAATCAAATCCCTATGGACATCCAAAAACTTCTCCAATAGGGTAAAAAGGGAAGCCACCGACTGGGAAAAAGTATTTGGTAATGACATATCAAATAAGGGACGTATATCTAGATTTTATAAAATACTTGAGCACCACAAGATAAAGGTAAATAATCCAATTGAAAAATGGGCACAGGATATGAACAGACACTTCACCAAGGAAGACATTCAGATAGCTAACAAGCACATGAAGAAATGCTCAAAATCCCTAGCTCTAAGAGAGACGCAAATTAAAACAACTATGAGATACCATCTCACCCCAGTCAGAATTGCAAAATTTAACAGAACAGCAATCAACAAATGCTTATTCACTGTTGGTGGGAGTGTAAAATGGTGTAACCACTGTGGAAGGCGGTATGGTGCTTTCTCAAAAAGTTGCAAATAGAGATACCATTTGACCCAGCAATTCCACTACTGGGAATATACCCCAAAGAGAACATAACTGACATCCAAGCAGATATATGCACATCCATGTTTATTGCAGCTCTGTTCACAATAGCAAGGAGTTGGAAACAACCTAAGTGCCCATCAACAAATGAATGGATAGAGAAGCTGTGGTATATTCACACAATGGAGTACTATGCTGCATTGAAAAACAAGGAACTTACGCAATATTATTCAAAATGGGTGACCCTGGAGGACATTATGCTGAGTGAAGTATCTCAGTCACAAAAGGACAAATACTGCATGGTGCCACTGTTGTAAAGCAGGACTGACCTCGGGGTGGGGAGGAGACTGAGAAGGATGGGTTCCATAATGTATACTGCATTGAAACAGATGAGGGAGAAAACTGTTTAAGAGGGAAAATGATTAGGGATTTTTGTCATGACAGGAGTCCAGAGTGAAGGCTGCATAGTGGAGTGGACCTGGGGGGAGGTATTGTAAAACAATGAAAGAATTTTTCTTTTACTTTTCCAAGAGGGTAGTGTACTAGAGGGGAAGGTTGGGAGTGGAGAAAAGTGCAACAATGAATGAACGGAAATTTAAAAAAAACAAACACAAAACCTTTTTGTTCACAGCTTCTCCTGATACCTCTGTCCTACTCCTTGTGACAGTGGAAATGTGTCCCCCTCACCTGGTGCAGTGCAACCAGGCAAAATGATGGCTTCTCCACTTAGGAGCTATATGAGTTTAGGAAAAAGCCTTCACCTCTCTGAGCCTCATTTTCCTCTTATAAAGGTCTGCCCTGTGACTGTCAGTGCATGACACAATCAGCACAGTGCTTGGCACATAGTAGATGTTCAATAAATAAAGGATGGCTGTGCTCTATTTCTTGTTCTCATCACGGGAATTCCTGGTGATGCAAATGGTTAATGCACTCATTCACAGACTAAAGGTTGAAGGTTATAGTCCACCCAGAGAGGTGCCTTGGAAAATACCTGTGAACATATTTTCTAAAAAATCGTTGTGAAATGTCATCATGTAGAGTACAACTCATACCGAACCTATGAACAATGGATCTGAGGCCTGGCCCTATCTTGGGCCCTCTTCCTCCTCCTCAACATACTTGAGCCCACTTTTACAGTCACTGTGTCAAGCCATCTAGATGAGATTATTCCCCTCCTTCTTGACCCTCCACCTTTCCACGCATGCTGTCTTTTTCCAAGGCCTGGCCCCTTCTAACAACATGCCCAAAGTATGTGAGAAAGTTTCACTACCCTTGACTCCAACAAGTACCCTGGTTGCATCTTTTTCTAAGGCATATTTGTTTATCCTTTTTATAGCCCATGGGATATTCAATACTCTTCTCCAACCCCACAACTCCAAGGCATCAATTCTTCTTCTGACATCCTTAGTCATTGTCCAATTTTCAGATGCATATCAAGTAATTGAAAATAGTTTGGCTCAGGTGCACCTTAGTCTTTAAAGTCTCGTCAACATTTTGTAGAGGTCTCTGACAACAGTTTCCCAGTGCAATATGTCTTTTGGTTTCCTCAATCCAAGCAAGATGAAAGCATTGCCGATTTTTCTCTCTTCTTCATCTATCATAATTTACCTATTGCCCCAGTGTTAAGAATTTCTGTTTTCTTGATGCGAAACCTAATCCATTTTGAAGGTTGAAGTCTTTGATCTTCTGTAGTGAGCACTTCAAGTTCTCCTCACCTTCAGGAGGCAAGGTTGTGGCATCTGCATAACACAGTTTTGATGAGTCTTCCTCTGGTCCTGATGCAACATGCTTCTTCATATATTAGCCACTAAAACTCCTAAGGAGCTCAGCTCTCCTCTGACAAAGATGGGGGTCATAATGAGTCAGAATCAACTGATTTCTTTTTCATTCCCTTCAGGCATAATAATATCACCCATATTATAGCATTCAGCACCAATTGTTAGCTATCTAGCAGTGAAGAAACCAAGGCTATTGATCTAATATTGGTGAAAATGTTGGTTCAGTCCAAGATAGGAAAGAAATGCATGATTGCCTTGTGGGGAAAACTGCCTCAATGCCTGAGGGTTGAACATCGATGGGGATATTCAATCCAAGGGGTGAACATCAATGGAGGATGAGTATCAATGGGATATTGAATCCAAGTCTGGGTGATAACCTGTTTGTTGTAAAGGGGACGTGAGACCTTGCACAGGATCAGATTAAGAGGCCTAGTGGTCCTTTCTGACCACGTTTACCAAAGGTGAAGGGTCTCTTGCATCTCCTTATTATCATTATTGCTTTACTCAAAGAACTCCATTTTTTTATCATCCCAACTTTGATCAGTGCCCTGCAATCTGTCTACCAAAAAGAAGGATCCAGGATTCAGAGAGAGAAAGAGAGAGAGACAGAGAGAGAAACAGACAGATAGACAAAATTGCAAAACAGAGATACCAGAAAAAACCCCAAAGGGCAGAGCACCTACGTCACATCCTGGGGAAACTGGCCCTTCATTGAACTTCAGAGGTCCTGCTCCCATCCCTCTGCACTCCCACCCCTCTGCACCCCCACCCCTCTGCACCCCCACCCCTTTGCACCCCCACCCTCTCCCATCTACTCACCATACACCCAGCTGATGCAGATGACTTCAAACATGGCCAGGAAGAGCAGGCAGATGCCGCTGCATGCGTAATAGTCAAACAGCTGGAAGATGTACATCCCGCCCTGTGGAGAAGGGAGCGGAGCTGAGGCCTTGGCCAGTGGCAGTCAGGAGACATACTCCCACATTCAAGAGATGGCAAAACACCCAGTCTGGTGCCATCCTGCCCAGCCCATGAACGGTAACTTCCACAGTTGTGAATACACAATAAAACCCGTGTAAGCTGGAACTCGACAGACTGCCTTGTCTTGTTGGGTCTTGCAAGCTTTCTGTCTTTCACAGGATGTGTTCTTACCACTTTCCTATCACTCATTTTAGCAGGAAATACTTTTGGTTTCCTTCTCTGACAGGTTTCCATTATACGCAGGTTCTGGCTTTCACAGGTTTTGCTGTAATATGCATATAAAGGAAACATTGTGTTTCTTGCTGCTAAAAGGCATTTGCCCTGCCTGTCCTGCCCCTGGGTCTCCCATTCTGAATCTAGTCATCTGTTTGTGACAGCTGCATGGACACTGGGGGCTGTGATGGGCACAGATTGCCCTGTCTGCTTATGATCATTCTATCTCCTGGAAATTGGCACCTCACTCTAACAGTGTTCTGTTTAGGCGAGGTGTTCCTGCTGCAGGCCTGTCTATGAGCCATGGCCTGGACACTTGCTCAAGCTCTCGGGAAGAGACCCTCTCATTCCTTTGGAGTTAATTAGGCGGCAGAGGGTGTGCTTGTCACGCCCATCAACCTTCTTTCCTGAAGGAGGAAACTGCCTTAGAACAAAGTTCCCAGAAGAAAGCAGAGTCAGAAATGTTTAATATTGTTAATGCCATTTATCAACAAGGATGCCTTTCTCTAAGGACTATCCCCTCCTGATAGCATGCAAGGTATGTGAGACCAAGTCTCTCCATCCTTGCTTCTAAAGAGCACTCTGACTGTACTTCCTCTAAGACAAATTGAACAACCAGCTCCAGTCATGTCTGAAACCAAAGTGTCTCCAGACTTTCCCTCAGTTACCTGGCCCAGTAAACTCCTCTTCTTGCTTAAAACCTATGTGCATCGGGTCTCTGTCACTTATAATCAAAAGAGACGTGATTAATTAACATGGATATATTTCACTGCGTGATCTCACTGACTGTGCTGTGAGGGAGACAGGCAGGTAGGTGTCAACACTCCCACTTAGCAGATGAGAAATCTGCACCTCTTCAGCGGTCAGCGTGGGAGCCCCAGGTCAGGGTCCTGCCCCTCTTGGCTCCTTCGTCCTGGAGTCCCACCTGCAGAAGGCCAGCCCAGCAGCTCACCTCAGTGACGAGGAAGAGCCCCAGCAGATAGCACACCAGGGCGATGCTGAGGATGAGGAGCTCGCGCCGCCCGCTCTTCCGGAGCTGCCTGGGGAACATGTCCATGGAGGCTGTCACCAGGCACTCCACACAGACAAACTGTGGGGAGGAGAGGAGAGATGTGAGGACAGGCACTCCCCCATCTTTGTGTACTGCTCCCGTAGATTCACCTATGGATGCACAGGGGTATCAGGGAGGGAGGCTCAGAGGGCAGAAACCAGGACAGGGAGAAGAACTAGGGTGAGGCCTCATCTACCCAGTGAATGCAGAGGAGATAACGTTCTTTCACTAAGGGTTGTGTCAGGGGGGTGGTTCAGGTTGAATGGTGGGAGGTACCGGAGGAGGCTTGTGGAGCCTTTGGGAGAAGCATTGACTGATGTCAGGGAAAGTCAGGTGGTAGGAATAAAACAGGTGGCTCCCTCACAGAAGAGAATCTCAAGACCTGAGGTCACCCAACCAGCCCCTAGGGCCAACCTGGGCAGCAGTGGGGTGTGGGTGGAGAGTGGCCAGGAACTTAACAAACAGGGGAAAGGGAAAGGAATGCTGGGAAATGCAGGAGGGTCAGGAGGGCCAGGCAGGGCTGGGGTAGGGCGGATGGGAAGGGTGATGTACCTGGCTGTCCAGCCCTAGGAAGATAAGCATAATGAAGAAAAGGCAGGACCAGAGCTGGGACAGGGGCATCATCGTCACGGCCTTGGGGAACGCGATGAAGGCCAGCCCAGGACCTGCGGGCATGCAGTACGATCACGTGAGTCTCTGCCCTCAGCTAAGAGGCCTCTCCACACCATTGTGTGTTTGTCTATTTGTCCACACACTAGTCATTCACCTACTCAGACATACACCCATGCACACAGCTGTCAGTTCTCCAGTCTTCTCTCCATCCCACATTCGCGGAGCCCCTGTTTGGTACCAAACACTGTCCCCATGCTAAACCAAGAACTCACTGCTGTCAAGTCATGGTGACTTAGGTTGCCAAGACTGTAAATCTTATTTGAAGAAGACTACCTCATCTGCCTAAGAGGAGCAGGGAAATCAAACTGCCAGCCTTTCCATTAACAGCCCTGCATTTAACCTACTATGCTACCAGAGCTTCTTGCCTACATGCTGTTGCTGTTTTTGTCTTGTGCCATCAATTCAGACTCAGCTGACTCTCCAGGGGGTTTCCAGAGACTGAAATACATGAGGGGATTGTCCATCATTCTTCTGAGGAAGAGCGAGTAGATTTGAACTTTGGACCTTTGGGTTGGTAGCACAACTCCTTATTTACTAGGTGACCAGCGTTCTCTTATCCACAAGCTAGAAGGTTTAATTACTTGGTGCTGGGACCTCTGCCTTTCCATATGGAGGATCTGGGTTCTCTGACCTTCCCCACCGTCCCTGACGGCAAGACGGCATCTACCTGATTCAGCCACTTCAGAAATGGGCACGCCCTGTTCCCGAGACATGAAGCCCAGGATGGAGAAGACAACAAATCCTGCCACAAAGCTGGTGCTGCTGTTGAGGAAGCAAAGGGCGATGCTGTCCCTGTGGGGTGGAGGTAGAGAAAGAAATAAATTGTGGGAGGAGAAGGCCAAAAGACAGTAAGAGGGTAAAGAGGAGAGGAGAAGCAGAAGCATAAAAGGCCAAGCACAAGGAAGAAAAATGGGAGGGAGGATAGGAAGAGACAGTGGCAAAAAGAAAAGAAGAAAGCAAGAGACAAAAGAGAGGAAGAAAAACACTCAGTTTAGGAAAGAACTCAGAGTGCCAATTGACTCCCTGATAATAAACAGCAAGGCTTGGGCCCAGGGACAGGGTGTTGGTCCCCAACAGGGCACCCAACCCCTGGACTCCTGCCTTGCTTAGATCACAGAGAATCTAGGATTACCTTGTCACCCAGCTCTTACCTGTAGCAGTTGTTGTTGTACTTGTTGTAGCTGCCCAGGGCCGTCAGGCACCCCTGGCCGATGGCGAAGGAGAATAGGATTTGAGTGCCTGCATCCAACCACACCTACATGAGACCCAAGAAATGGTGGAGGGAGCCCATTAGGAAAGGGTGACCAGAGACTCACACCCACCAGCATGGTCTCCTTGGGGTTCCCTTAGAGCTTCATACTTACAAGACAGTTTCCAATTAACTTGCCCTCCTGTCTAAATAACACTTGTCTCATAGGAGGGACTATTTTAAATTCTGTTTACGTGGGCAGCTAACCAGTCACTGCTAAGTTGAGTGTATTTTTGATTCATGGCGACCTCACGTATTTCAGAGGAGAATTGTGTTTCATAGGATTTTTCACCACTCATATGTTTAATAATATTTATTATTTTTTCATTGTTGGACATTTTCTTTCCCCTACCCCCGCCCCCTCCCCTAACTTACCCACTGCACCCCTTGTTCCAGAGTGTTATCATACAATTGTTGTTGTTGTTGTTATGTGCCGTCGAGTCATTTGCGACTCATAGCGACCCTATGTACAACAGCCCTAAACCCTGCTCTATCCTGTGCCAATCTCATTGCCTCTGACAATCCCGAAACAATTGCCATCCCGATTACCCCAGTCACTGAATCAATCCACCTCATAGAGGGTCTTTCCCTCCTGTGCTGTACCTCCACTCTGCCCAGCATGATGTCCCTCACTAAAGACCTGTCTCTCCTTACAACATGTCCAAATTATGTCAGGTGAAGCCCCAGAATCCTTGCCTCCAAGGAGCAGCCTGGTTTAATCCTCTCTATGATGAATCTGTTTGTTTTCTTGGCAGTCCATGGTACATTCAATACTCTTCTCCAGCACCACAGCTCAAAGGCGTCAACCCTCCTTCTATCCTCCCTAGTCATTGTCCAACTCCCTGATGCATAACAAGTGATTGCAAAGACCATGGCCTGTATCAGGCGCACCTTAGTCTTCAGAGAGACACCGTTGCTCTTGAGTACTTTAGAGAGGTCCCTAACCACAGACTTTCCCATCGCAATATGTTTTTTGATTTCCTGGCTACTGGTGCCAAGAGTGTTGACCGTGGAGCCGAGCAAACTGAAGCTGTGAACAATCTCAATCTCTTCACCATCCATCCTGATGCTACCGATTGGTCCAGTGGTGAGAATTTTTGTCTTCTTGACATTGAGTCTCAGTCCATATTGAAGGCTCCATTCCTCCTTTTGCACAGTCCTTCCTCTCCTCTGTTCTAATGCAGTGTTCCTTATCTATCTACTCTTTTCCCAGTCTCTCCTCAAGCCCCCATTTCTGTCCTATTTTATAACAGCAGTGTTATGCATTATTTGTCCTTTTGTGACTGGGATATTTCACTCAGCATAATACCTTCTAGGTTCTCCCATTTGTGTAATGTTTTACAAGTTCATTGTTTTTCAACTGTGTCACATTTCATTGTGTGAATGTACCACCACTTTTCTATACATTCATTTGCTGATGGGTTGCTTTCATACCTTGCTATTGTGAATAAAGCAGCAATAAACATGAGTGTGCATACATCTGTTTGGTTTGTAGAACTGGTTTCTTTGGGGTGTATTCTCAATTGTGGAATGGCTGGGTCAAATGGTATTTTTATTTCTGACTTTATGAGAAAGTGCCAGATGGCTGTTCATAGTGGTTGCACCATTTTACATTTGCAGCAGCAGTGAACAAGAGTTCCAATCTCTCCACAGCCTCACCAGCATTTGTTGTTTGTTGCCCTTTGAACTTTGCTGTTGTTGCTGGGGCTGCTGCTGATTTTTTAAGAAGTAACTTGCCAAGACTTTTTCTCCCAGGAAACTCTGGGTGGGCAACTTTTCTGTTAGTAACTGAGTACATTAAGCATTTTCTTACCAAGGTACTTTGGTGGTTTTGTGGCTATTGTACTGATTATAGTTCATAATGGGCCCCCATGAGAGAGTAGATTGTCTTACAAGGTTTTCTAGGCTATAATGTTTATAGAAGTAGATCCCCAGGTCTATTCTTCCACACGACAGTTGGTGAGTTTGAACTACTCTCCTTTTCATTAGCGGCTGTGCACTTAACCACAGTTTAACCAGGGTTCTTTGGGAGAACTTTAAAAAATTTAAAACAACAGCAACAAAAAACACAGCCACCAAGTGGGTTACAACTCATACAAATCTCCATCAGGTTTCCAAGACTGTAAATCTTTTTGGAGGAGACTGTTCATCCTTCTGCAGAGAAGTCAGTGGATTCAAACAGGCGATCTTTTGAGTACCAGTCTGATGCATTATGCACTATCCCACCAGAACTCCTTTGGAAGCACTTTTTCATTGCTGTCAAGTTGGAACCAACTCATAGATGACCTTCCAGCTCATTTTCAGAGGTTGTAACTTGGCGTGGAAGGATACTGCCCATCTTGCTCCCTCTGAGCAGCTGGTGAATTCGAACTGTCTGCCTTTGGGCTGGCAGGCCAACTCCTTACCCACTAGGCCACCAGAACTCCCCTTGTAACCAGCAAATGCAGGCATCCAGAGATAGATAGGAGAGACCTGTCTGCAAGGCAAGCTAAAAAGACCACACCATGACTATATTCACTCAACTAGCTCAGTGTACCTGAGGGCAAAGTGGTGACTTCATTAAAATAGAGATACAAGAGCACAAAGCCTCCAAAAGGAAAAAGAAAAAAGAAGAGAAACTCCTAAAGAATGTGATCAAACAAGTCCTAGAAAAGGAGATAAAACTGACAGACAAATATATGGGAAAATGTTCACCCACACCACGATCCAAACAATAAAATTAACATAACAAAATGATATCACTTTGGCCTATCAAAGTATCAAAGATTAAAATAAAATTATACTTCAATCTAGCAGCGACCTGGTAGAAAGGAGCCACTGCCTTTGAATTGATTCAAACTCATAGCAATCCTCCATCAGGTTGCCCAGGCTGTTAATGTTTATAGGAAGAGACCACTGGTCTTTTTCCAGGAGAGCAGTTAGTGGATTTGAACAACTGACCTTTAGGTTAACAGCACAGCACGTAAAACATCATGTCACCAGAGAGCCTCAAGCACTGATGATTATTGATTTTGCTGTATCCAGTACATCAAGAGCCTAATCTCAGTTTTGACTACCACCAAGAAATATTAAAAGATGTGGCCAAAGAAAGGATGCAGTGTTGACTGTAGCTGTTCTGGGGAGACATAAATCACCACCATGTTCAAGACTGGAGTGGGGGCTGCTAATGTGTAATGTAAGGTGGGCTTGAAGAGAGCAGGACTTGGCATCTGTTTTGTTCCTCTCCCTATTTTAGCCATGAGAACAGTATCTACCAGGTTCCCACTTGCCTCTGACCTGACTCCATGTATGTCAGTAAAATTATGCTCTATAGATTTTTTTTTTAATGGCTGATTTTTCAGAAGCAGATGATCAGGATTTACTTCCAAAGTACCTCTGGGTAGACTTGAGGTACTTGTGGGTGGATGTGAACCACCAACCTTTTGGTTAGTGGCCAGGTTGTTTGACAGTCTGCACCACCCAAGGACTCCTATGAGAGCAGTACCAGGCAGGAAATGGGCCCTCCGTCCATTTTGCATCAGGTACTGATGATGGACAGAATCATGAAACAAGTGCTAAGCATGATATCTACAAATGAATTTAACAGCACAGAAAAGGCTTTGGATAATATTTAAGAAAAAAACAAAAAAAGATACAAAACACTGTCTTTATGTAATCACCTCAACCATGTTAAAATGCACACAAATCATTTGCGGGGACAAAACAGTGAAAGGAATACTGAAAATGCTAACAGGCATTATTTCTGAGTATTGAGATTACAAGAAATTTTCAGTTCCTTTTTTGTTGTTGTTTTCTTCCATGCTACCTAATTTTTAAACAGTGGACTTCCCCTTCCCCCCCCCCCCCCCCCCCCCCCCCCCCCCCCCCCCCCCCCCCCCCCCCCCCCCCCCCCCCCCCCCCCCCCCCCAACCAAGAAGGAGGCAAGAAAAGACTTTAAAAAAAATCCAGATCTGGTTTGAGGTGGGAGACATCTGAGCAACAGTCTCCAACACAGTACCCACCTGAGGGTCCTTGAGGCGAAGCAAATCTGGTTTCAGATAGTAGATGATGCCCTCATAGGCTCCAGGCAGGGTAATGCCTCGGATCAGCAGGATAATCAGCATCAGGTAGGGAAACGTAGCTGTGAAATAAACAATCTGGAGAGGATGCCAGCCAAGGTCAGTACTGGTAGGTACACAGCACAGCAGTCAGGAGCTCTCGGGGAGTCTCCAGGTGAGTCTCCACTGTTCCTCCTGGCACCCCTCCCCAGGCAGCACAGTCACACCTAGACACAGTGGCTGACACCTCAGAGACTCTGAGAGGGGGTGAGTCCGTGTCACTTGCCACACCTTCCTTTACTTATTCCAGTGGTCCCACAACCCAGCAGAACCAAGAGGGAGATAGTCATCATCAGGGGAGGGGGGAGATGGGGGGAAGGAAGCAGGAAGGGGGTCGAATTTCCAGTCCATAACATTTCAAAGACTATTTTTAAATTCAGAGGCTACCCCTGTCCCCTTAATCCCGTCCCCTTAATCCCTTATCCTGGCTGCTCTCCTCCAGCCGTGCTGAGGGTGGGACTCCCCTCAGGGTAACCAGATTTGTTCAGTGATCTGAGGGGAAAGGGAAACTGTACTTTTCCAGATGTAAAGTTAGTAGTGGCCTGAACTGGAACAAACCTTAGTGTCCTGGCATCCTGCCCCTTCCCGCATGTTCTTTTGTTTTATTATTATGACAACCTGAGGGAGGATTGGTGGTCTAGAGGGTAGGAAGTTGCTCTGCCAACCCAAAGGCAGGCAGTTCATATCCACCAGCTGCTCCTTCGGGGGAAGATGGGAAATCACTCTTTGTACAATTTCTAGCCTCTGAAAACCTGATGGAGAATCAACTATTATTTAGCCCTGACTCAGTGGTAATGAAAGTTTGTTGTTGTTTTAAAAATTACTATTTTTAACGTGACTACGTTTTAACAAGATCCCAGTTTACCAATTGCCATCGAGTTGATTCCAACTCATTGTACATGTGTGTCAGAGTAAACTGTGTTCTGCAGGTTGTTAAGAGGCTGCAGGATTATGATAAGAATCACATGACGGTCTGGTTAAAATGTAGATTTCAATTTAGCACATCTGCAGTGGAAATGCCAAATCTCAGAGAGGGCTCAAAATGGAATAAACCCATTCAAAGCCCTGATCTTACTATTGTGATTATTAGCAAAGTCCAGGGAAAGGGGAAATTGGAGCGGGAATAACCTAGGTATATGGCTAATGCCAGATTTTAAAAGTGGGAAGCACCAGTGTCAGATTTTCCGGGTTGGAAATAATACTCAACTCTGAATTCTAAATATATAACAAGCCAACGATTGGCTATCCTTAGCAAGTATCTCCTCAATGATGGGGAATTTATCACCTCAGAGATGGTTCTGAAAACAAAAAACGATGGTTCCATTTGATAGCTCGTGCTCAAGATAGGTTTAATTTATTATTACTTTCCAAAAGCAAGTTGTTTGAATTGTATAAAGTGCACAAATAGTGCAATAATTCTGATAGACACACACCTCAGAGAAACTAGAAGGTAAGGCCGCAAAAAGCTAACAGGTGAGAAGATTTAGCCTGTCACTATGGGGATGGCTTATACAGGTGGGGATTGGAATGACTTTTATGTTTATCATATGCTCTGTACATTACTAGTGTAAACAGGTTGTAAGAAGTTATACTGAAAAGAAAACATTTCTTTGTATTGAGCTAAATTCCATTTCCTCTGATGCCCTATACTTACTGAACATCTACCCTAACTTCTCTCTCTTTCAATTCCCCAGAAAGACCCATCAGAGTGTCTCCATGGACACTGAGAACCAAAGAAAGCTTGTTGGGAGCTATTCTATCTCACCTTGCCCGTGGTCTTGATTCCTTTCCAGATACAGAAGTAACAGATGATCCAGGCAAGGAGGAGACACAAGGCCAGCTCCCAGCGCACGGTTCCTAGGTCCTGGAGGCCGGAGGTAAGGCCCAGGACCCGTCTCCTGAGGGAATGGGAAAAACAAATAAACCAATGAGAGGCTATAAACAACAACCTGCCTCGGTTTTCAGGTGTCCTAATTCTTAACAGCTGATCCCAGAGCTCTCAAATGCCACAGTTTTTCCTACCTCCATCTCTATGCCATGGTCCCACCAGGGTGCTGAGTAACCACAGCTGTTAGATGACTAAACTACAGCAATCCTATAGGTATCTGTGCCTCTAACTCATTCAGATTCTTCTGTTGCACAGAGAGATAGACAATGAAGGTGGTCGGAATATTGGGCAGTGGTTATTTCATGAGCAGGTTGATGAGCAAGTGTATGGACTTCAAATAGAGGAGTTGAATGCATGTTAACAACTAAAGATATATAAAAGGTGATGGGAATGAGAATGTGTGCATGTATGAGATTTGGGTGTAAGTGAATGCATGTGTGGATGTGAGGATATGGTAGACATGCCAGTAAGTGTAAGTTTTATTTCAGTGTGAGAGTATAGGTGGACTTGTGTGAGAATACAGGTGGTCCTGCATATTTGTAGGTGGATAATAGTGCAAGCAGTCATGTAAAGGATGTTGAGCATGTTTTGTTGTGATTAGCTGCCATCAGTTTGAGAACAATTCATAGTGACCCTATGAACAGTGAACAGCTGACCAGAACCTTGCCCTATCGTGTGCCCTCAGCATCTCCAACATGTTCAAGCCCATTGTTGAAGTCACAGTGTCAATCCATCTCATTGAGAGTCTTCATCTTCTTTGCTGACCCTTCATCTTTCCAAGCATAATGTCCCTTTCCAAGGAATAACCTTGCCTAGCTACATGTCCAAAGAATGAAAAATGAAGCTTCGTCATCCTTGCCTGCAAGGACCATTCCAGGGCTGCACCTTCCAAGTGTATGGATGTCAAATAGAGGAGTTGAATGCACGTTGACAACTAAAGGTACATAAAGGGTGATGGGAATGAGACAAATATATACATATATATATTTGTTTTTTGGCAGTCCATGTGAGTATAAGGTTTGCCAATTTCTTTGGTATAAATATTCCCAATGTGGCTGATTTCAAGCTAGTGATAATACCACTGAATATAGAGCTAGGAAGAAATGTGCACAATCAGCTCCCTTGCTCTGGTGCTGGCTCTTCCCAGCACACCCTGGACTTTGGTAGGGGGGTGAGAGGTACAGTGGATGAGTGCTGGAGGGGGTGGAAGTACAGGTGAGGGCAGACACATGTGAGGACATTTGTAAGTGGACATGGATCAGTAAGACGAGGTGGACACATGCGAGTTTGCGGTAAATGTGAAGGTGTTGAAAATAGGAACTGATATTTGAGTATTCACTCAAACCTCATGAGTGGTGGAGAAGTGCCGAAAACTATCTTAAACTTGCCCCCAGGTCTCAGGCTCAGATATCCAAATTCCCTCTGATTGAAGCATTGTGGTATTTGGCAACAAGGCATAGCACCTACTCCCAGAATTCCATGACAGGTGAGGTGCCGTTCTCAGACTGTGTCGTGCTGGCTCCCGAGCAGTTCAGAAAGTCCATGCAGTGCTCTGTCGGGGACAAAGCGAAGTAAGAGGCGTGACCAGCAAGGAACAATGGCAGGCTGTCTCCTGACTCTGCCCTGGCACCCTGGAGTTCCTTTATCCCTAGCCCCACATAACCACATCCACTCACACCTACACGTGTCTGTCTCTATTCTCACACAAGTCTACCTGCCTCTTCACACTTACTCACAGGCGCTTTCTCTGGGGTGCTACTTCCCAGGGAGTCTGGAGTTGGGTCTTATGATAGTTCATGGGGCCAGCTCCATCTCCTACGTAACCTGCATGGTCACCCTGAACCTGGCTGCTCTCCTGACCACTCCTCCAACTCTGATACAACTAAGACCTCAGTGTAATCTGCCTCTGCATGGATTCCCTCCCCCCCCCAACACACCCCTAATTCTTCCATCTAGTCCTGACTCTCTGTCTTCTACAGACAAAGTGACTCAGGCTTTGTGCGCACTCTTCCCTGGAAAGCGGTTCACATGGAGACCACCTTCTCATCCTTGAGCCCTTATATAGCACCTTCTCTAACTGAATAACCCTCTCCCAAACCAATCTATTATTTCTCCTATTGTTTGGTATTGTACTCTTGTTTCTTTCGCTCATCACCAACCTGTAATTTGTTTTGTCTATTTGTCTATTTCTACCACCATCCCATAAACTCCCTAAGTGCTGTGTCCTACTCGCGTTGTTCACCCTTGGATCTCTGACACAATGCTTGGCACATAGTATCTGCTCTTCAGCAAGCATTTGTTAAATGAATAAATGAATGAGTGGCAGCAATCCTTTGCAGTTGTATAATACTCTCACTGCCCCACTAGGTTTCACAGCTACCTTTGAGTGACTGGACTAAGTTCCCACAGAAGGGTCAGCCAGAACCCATGTAGCTTGGCTTTGAGTCAGCTTCTGTCACAGGCTCCTTCCTTGTTTGGTCACTGACAGCCCCAAGGGGTTAAAGTGGTAAATACCTGTGTTCCAGGAATTGGTGCAGGTCGTCCAGGGCAGCTCAGAGCTGAAGGAGCTGAACAGGTAGAAAAGGGCCCAGGCAAGGATAATGATGTAGTAAATATTCAAATAGGACTCAATGACCACAGTCGCCAGACCGATGCCTTCCGGAAGGTGAGGTTGGAGGGTGCAAGACAAGAGAATCCAAGAGACCAATGTCAGTAACAAGCGCACAAAGTCACATAGAGGCTGCTTAGAAAGAAGCTAGGGTGAGCAGTCATTGACAGCACATTTCTAAGTTCAACAAGCAAGTTACAGAACACTCACTATTCTATGCATATCCCATTCTTAAATTATACATTTAAATGTATATACTTTTTTTTTTCTCATGAGAAAAACTCTGGAAGTCTATCATTCACCAGAAAGTGGTTCCCTAAAGTGACGAGATTTCAACCAACTTTTAACTTTCCTCCCCTTTCTCCTGCTTGAATTTTCTAGGTTTTTGTCATAAGAAGGAACAAGAAGAATGAAGGCACATAAGGATAAATTGATAGAAATCAGTAGTATACTAGTAACCCCTCCCCCCCAGATTAGAAATACCAACAAAGAGGAGAGAGAAGTGGTCCCTGTCTGCACGTAATCTTGAACCTGATTCAGCATCAAATGCCATCTCACCAGGTGAACGAGGAGCAAGTGTCAACAGAGGTGCAAAGTTTGCACTTCTATCTTGACACTTATCATGAAGTCTCATGGTTAGCTATGTAGGGGAGCCTGGGGACGAAGAAGGTCCCCCCTCCTTGCTGGCAGACAGTGTTCTACCAGAATGGAATCTTTTCTGCAGTTGTTTTAAAAGTAGCTTATTGCCAGGTTGGTTGGCAGTCCCTGGGTGTGAAAGCAAAGCTTTAAGGAGTTGGGGTGCAGTCCCCATGCCCTAGAGTAAACGTGTCTTGCCCCTTCCCTGCTGCCCTGTTTGTTTAGAGGCCAAGTCTTCTCTCTGTCCTGTGGAGTCTATGCTCAGTAACTCTTTGATGAAGGCCTGACTGTTGATGAACAACTCAGAAGCCTGAGGGCTTGTCAAACAAATCAGTGCTAACTGTAAACAAAACCACCCATTTGCAGAGCGCCTGCACCCCCATATTGTCTTTTCTAATGGGCTTGGCAAACCCAGGTGTGTGCACAGGAGGGAGGAAGGAAGGATGAGTTTGAGTGCTTGCTCAGCACCCCAGATCACCACAGAGCTGCAAAGTGGATAACAGGCAGTAGTTGGCCGGACAGCCGAGAAGCCTTGGACCTGGGGCTTGTGGTGGGAAAGAGGCTAGGGCTGGGTGGATGGTGAGTAGGGTCCCGAAAGGCCACACTGGACAGTGTATTTAGAGCCCTGATAGAGACACAGATACATAGTCACAAACAAGCACCCACTGTGCCCACCGCCACTGGGAACAAGCTGTGCATACCAACAAATTGCAGAGTGTGGGGAGAGGAGCAGGACGGTGAGAAGTAGGCTGTTGCTGAGGCAGGGAATGGGGTAGTCAGCCCTTTAAACACCAGGATCAGGAGGAAGACTGAGCCTCTGGAAGCTTTTCTGGTGGTGATGGATGTCTAGGTAAAGGAGACAGTCCCTCCTACCCCACCCCAAGACCTGGACACCTACTCCTACTGCCATCACCATCCTGCCCTGTTGGGGAGTATAGTCAGGAAGCCTGGTTCATGGATGAATTGACGAAGGAGGCTGGGGAAGTTCAGCAGGATATATATTTACAGGTGCCTGTGTGCCTGGGCTCACTGGGAGGGTGGAAGTGAAGAAGGGGCAGCGGCCCAGGTGGAAAGCACTGAGTAAGCACTTTGGGACACCCCAATACAAGTGCATACATGCTCTGAGTGACCAGCTCCCTGAAATCCCTGGCCTTATGGTGCTTTGCAATTTGGAAAAGAAGCAAAGGGAAGCAATTCTCCTTCAATTCCCCCATCCTTCCCCAGGTCACCCTCTAATGTGCAATTGCTCACCTTCCCCGGATCACCACCCTTAAGCAGTGCATAAAGCCCAGAGAGGACAGTGCCTGCTTGCCTATATGCCTACTACTTGCTTGGACCTGAACATTAGGTCTGCTGAATGGGACCTTAGGCTCCAGCGGGGATCTGGTGCTGAATACAGGGAAGCTGTGAGTTCCACTGAGGCCACAATGTTTCCAGAAAATGAAGAGCTCTGAGTAGATAAATGGACAGGCCAAACTTCCCCATCCCAAGCCCCTCACTGCTGCTCTACATGAATGTCCACGAAGGCAGCAAAGCTCCAGGGCTCCAGGCGTCAACACCAGCCTGGCTTGTCTCATCCCCAGTCGGTGGGCTAGTGCTGTAGTGGATTATTCAGTGTGGCTTTTGTAGTCATTGGCTTTGTTACATTCATCACATGGCTCAGTAGAACTATGTAAGTGTATACACCAAGGGAACTGGATAGCTTGCTACAAATGTAAATAAGGTAAATGGCCCCTTTTACACAGGCTTATTATGTTGTTATGTGCCATTGAGTCAGAACTGACTCATAGCTGACCCTCTAGCAGGTTTTCAGAGGCTGTAAATCACAATGACAGAGATTGTCCACCTTTCCCCTGTAGAGCAGCTATTGAATTTTAACTGTGTGCCTGTGGGTTGGCACAGTGCAATTCCACACCCATCTGGCCACCAGCACTCCATTTTTTTGCTCCCCTTTTTGCAGAGTTGTTGCTTGCAGAACCCTCCCATAGCTGACCCCTCAATGGGTTTTCAGAGGCAGTAAATTGCATATAAGGAGATTACCCATTCTGCTCCTGTGAAGCAGCTGGTGGATTCAAACTGTGTGCCTTCAGGATTGCAGTGCAGGCTCTTAGCATTAGGTCACTAGAACTCCTTGGTAGGACCATGCAAATAAAATGTACAGAATGATAACTCAAGGATTGATCCATTTTGCCATCCTACCAGGCTTAAATTAAGCCAGCTCAGAGGCAAAACCAGGAATTTCACTACAATTATGGAGGAACTCTTAATAGGCAGCTCATCCTTTGGACTTGAAGCTCCTGCATGAACCAGAGACAAAGTGAGACCAATACTGACTGCAGTAGAATAGAGCCAGAGACAGTGTGAGACAGAGCAGGGGACTCCTGGCCCACACAGCGAGAAAGCTGAGTCTTCACTGGCAAGGTGACTGACTGCCTTTGGATACTTGCTGGAGGATATAGGTCTGTCAACCGACAGAGCAAGTGCCTTCAGGCATGGGCTTACTGGCAGAGCTGACAGTGATTTGTAACACTTGTCCAACAAAGTGGAGGCCAAAGCCACAAGAACAGGGTCAGCGAGAGAGCCGACTGTGAGCATACCTGAAAAGAGGCTATACTTACTGAAGACTTCTAGACAGAGTGTTCTGAATCTGAACCTGTGACTCCCCAACAAGTGTGGATCATGGAGGGCATGACTGACATCAGTGAAGCCAGCTTTGTGTTGATGCCGAGTCTTCCCCCTTGTAGAGTCAGTGGAGGTCAGATGGGGCTGCTCCCATGACTGCCACACTGTTTTTACAAGTGGTGGAGTCTGTAAAACATTGCACTACTAATCCAAAGCAACTTACAGCTTCTGAAAACCTGCTGGAGGGTTCGTTCTGACTCAAACAGCAATGAGCTTGAGGGGGTTTTTAATTGAGTCAGGGAAGGAACCAGTGTAGCCTTTCCTGTGCCCAACTCTATCCAGCCCACTCTGTTTGCTCCTCTGCCTCAGGGAACCCCAGAGGGTCTTGACCCTGAGTCTCTTCAGGTACTGGGATGAGGAAAGTATACTCTCTCCACTTCAAATCTGCAAAGAACTCCTCAGGACAAGGAGACCCCTAGGTTTTCCAAATAATCCTCAGAAAACTAGCACAATCAATCAAGGGCATGAGTAGGGGAAGGATGCCCCAACCTGCTCTCATTAGTGACAACAGATCCATAGAGACAAGAGTTGTCCCTAATTATTTGTTGTTGTTGTTGTTGTTATGTGCCATCCAGTTGTAACTGATTCATAGCTGAGCCTACAGCACATTTTCAGAGGGAGTTAATTGCATGGGAGGAGATTGTCTATCTTTTTTCCACAAAACAGCTGGTAGATTTGAACTCCTTGCTTTTGGGTTGGCAGCACAGCACCTAACCACTAGACCATCAGAGCTTCCCATCCCTGATATGGTCAATGATAAAGAGCATGGACTTTCAGCTAAAGGCAGGCCTGGACTTGAATCTTCAATGACCTCACTTTCCTCATCTAAAGAAATAAAATTAATAGGGTTATTGGATGGTTATATCACAATGAGTAAGGTACGTATCAGCTTACAAATATGGTGAAACTCATGTGAAATTTTTCACTACAGATTAGTCAATAAGCACATGTAGGCCTGTTGTCGCCTCATTCACTGGGTAATCCATCCCTGTTTAGACGAGTTAATAGATGTAAAATACTTAGCATAAGCGTTGACACATAGTAATGGCTCCACAGATGCCATCATCATCATCAAGACTGGCCTTCAGTATTTTAGAGGCTCCTCTGGGATGTTGCTATATGTTCAGAGCAGTCATCTCATGGAGTTGGTGAAATGTAGGGACTTCTTTCAAGATTCTGTATCTGATTCTGCATTTGTGATGCTGTAATTTTTCTTGAAGAGTGCGCTCTCCAAATGGTATAAACTTTGGGTTCCCTTAAACCTGATTATACATCTGTATAACCCTCCTACACAAACATACACGGAGTACAAAATGAATGAGCTCAGGCTGCATAGGGAGGGTGAGACACCATAGAAGGTAAGAAAACCGTGTGGATGGAGGGAAGGAACAGAAGAATACTCACCTTGAAAGAGGGGGCAGATCTTCTTCCAGGCTGTGACACTTCCTTGACTGGTGTATTGACCCAAAGCCACCTCCAGGAAGAACAAAGGGATGCCACAGGAGAATAAAAAGATGAAGTAGGGGATGAAGAAGGCTCCTGAGGAAGAGGAGAGAAGCAAGAGTTGAACAAGGCATAAGTTTTCCCTGTCTTTCCTTTTTCAGCTCTGGGCCCCTCTTCTAGAGACCTGTCCTCTAGCGCCCACTGTCTTTGACCTCCTTCTTCACACCTCCCCAAGAACCTGAGTCAACCCTCCTCCTATCTTCAAGCTCCCAGGGGCATTAAGTAGGTACCAGTGGAAAGTTTCCAGTTATAAGCCCTACTCAGTGTGGGAGGGACCTTGAATGGGAAATGAATGAAAATTTAGGTAAAGCAATTTAATATGCACTATTTCTTTTCTGGATATGCTTTCTAAGTCTGGCCAATTTATTATTTTTGGAACAAAAACATGTGTTATGTATCATTTGATACACTTATTAAATTATCAAGTTTGGTTTATTTTTGAGAAAAACAAACACCACCACCTTGGAAAAAAAATCTTATTCCTCTAATAATTTTCAGAGGAATTCTCTGGGTGACTCGGTTAGCTCCACTGCTAACCAAAAAACTTGTAAGTCAGGCACCTTGGAACAAAGATCTATCTTCGAAAATATCAACATTGATAACTTATGGAGCATGGTTCTGTTCACAGAACACAAGGAATTCCCATGACTAGAACTTGGCTCAATGGCAACTGGTTTGGGTGGGGTGGGGTGGGTTATTTTGGGTTTTGTTATTTTTAAATTTTCAGAGAGTTTTGCCCTCTACTGAGCTGTACTTTGAGTTGGTCTACGAGCAGCAAAGGCATTCCTTTTGCTGAATGCAGATTCTGGAGCCTGGGGGTTTGTGACGCCCATGTACTTAGGCATTGACCTGTAAGGCCCCACTGAAGCCCAGACTCAAAAGATATCCAGCACACTACATGAAAATGGAATTTGAAGACAACCCTGAGCCCGACTGCCCACTTCAGTAGGTACTGCTCATCTCAGATGTTTATCTGTGGGGCGAATGGAGTATTATTTATCATGCACTAATTCTATTCAACACTTATTTTGGTCATTATTGTACATCAGGCACACTTCTAAATGATTTTCAATGTTGAAATGCTCACAAAGCAAGTCTCCGTGAGGTGATACTATTATTATCTCCATCTCACAGATAAAAAACCCTGAAACCAGCTTAAAGATAGGAAGACAGAGATGCCGATGAAGAAAGTGAGGTATAAAACCAGATCTGATCTAGAGTCTGTGCTCTTGAGAATTACATTATATATAGCCTTTCAAATAATCCATATTTCTTAGTAGAGAAAATAATTCAAAGAGAAGGAAAGGAAAAACACTGCCTATCTCTTTCAGATTTTTTTATACACACATATATTGCCTTTTTACAAAATCCAGAACCTACACTATAGTATTTGATAACCACTCTTTTCAATACAATGAACTCTTCATGTCAATATATACTTTTTAATGCTGCCTGTTGTTGTTGTTGTTGTTGATTGCCATCTAATTGAGTACAACTCATAGCAACACTATGAACAAAAAATCTAATGCCTTTCTATAACGGTCATTTTAAAAAACCCTTTATCTCTACAAAACTGTGATGATTAAATAAGAATGAACTTCTCTATAATAAATATGTTGTTGTTATGTGCCGTCGAGTCACTTGCGACTCATAGCGACCCTATGTACAACAGCCCTAAACCGTGCTCTATCCTGTGCCAATCTCATTGCCTCTGACACATCCATCCCGATTA